CTTAACAGCTGAATTCAGAAAATTGATGAAGACTAAATTTGAGATGAGTTCCATGGGTCCAATTAGCTTTTTCCTTGGACTAAATATAAGACAGGGACCAGAAGGCATTTTCATAAATCAGGAAGCTTACACAAAGGCCTTACTGACCAAGTTTGGAATGATGGGAGACTCAAGAGTGAAGGTTCTAATGGCATTCGGAACGAAGCTAACACCATCTCTGGAAAAACCGGCTGCTGATATGACTCTCTATCGTCAAATGATAGGCTCATTGATGTATCTAACAACTAGTAGACCAGATATTATGTTTTCGGTTTGTTATTGTGCCAGGTTTCAAGCAAATCCACGTGAACCTCACATGGTGGCTGTCAAGAACATCTTTAGATACCTGAAGCGAACCTCATCTCTTGGTATATGGTATCCAGCGATATCAGGGTTCTTCGTTCAAGCATTCTCAGACGCTGATCTTCGATGATGTGGACTGGATAGAAAAAGCACTACTGGCGGATGTCAATTTCTCGATGGCAAACTCGTCAGCTGGCAGTCTAAGAAACAAACATGTGTATCCTTATCCACAGCCGAAGCTGAGTACATAGCTGCTGCGTCATGTGCTTCAAGTTATAGATTCAAAGTCAATTAAGAGACTATGGCTGAACATGAAGCGAATCCCACTTTACTGTGACTCTGAAAGCACAATTCGCATATGTCACAACCCAGTGCAGAACGAAACACATCGCACTGAGGTATCACTTCATAAAGGATCATGTGGAAGATGGTAATGTCGAGATTCATTTCGTTCGATCTGCTGATCAATTAGCTGACATATTCACGAAAGCCTTGCCTGAAGCAACCTTTAATAGAATACTCCAAGGCTTAGGAATGATGGAAGTTGAATCGGTTCCGAAACCACCTTCGCTTCCATGAGTATCACTTTCGTCTTCGCTCCATAAGTTTTTATCAAGCGAAATGAGGCGAACGTTCGCTCTATTTCAGTTCGTCTTTTTCGGGACACGAAACGGAACAAACACTCGCTCCTATTCGCTTCACTCATTATAAGCGAAAGGTTGGTTAGTGATTTCACTTCTTACTCGTGGTTTGGAACTCCTGTATCTTTTGTATATTATGCATTCTAAAAGTTTGTTTCGCATATTTTATGTTTTTATCTTTTTTCAGAAAATCCAAAAAGATTTTTCTTTCTGTCTTTAGTTATTTTTCAGAAAAATAAAATACAAAAATATTTTCCTTTTGTTTTATTTCGAAAATCAAAAATACAAAAATATTTTCCTTTTTGTTTTATTTAGAAAATCTCAAAATACAAAAATATTTTCTTTGTGTTATCTATTTCTTTTATTTTCACATATTACAAAAACCCAAAAATATTTTCAGATGATCATGGAGGCAAAGTTTCGTGTGAAAGGGCAGGTATAACATTCTTTATCTATGTATTAGCTAAGTGTCCCTAGAAGCATGTTGTTGTATGTTGTCCAAAGCCTCGATTGACTCGATCAGAAGCCTTATCGATTCGATCTACCATCGTTTCTTCCCAACCAGGCTGTTAAATTCACATTAGTCATGAGCTACCTTACTCTTATCGCTTTGAATTAAGAGTTATCTGCTTAGGCACTTTCGTTTAGCAGAGGTACATTTTCTTCTCTGGAACCTTCTTCATCTTTCTCCATTGCATTCACACTCATCAACGCAACCCTTGAGACTCTCATCTATACCAATGAGGTTTATGGTTGCACAACATCTGTGTTCATGATCTTAGTTTCGTTCACCATGAACTGAGTGAAACCCCAAATCCAACACCTTTAATGAATTGACGGAACAATTGAATGTTCTAGTTTTTCACCATAGAATTAACGAAAACCACTTTCGTGGTATGTATCAAGAAATCTCTTTTATTTTTGCGAGATCTTTATGAAATTGTCTAAAACTAAGACATTTCTTCCCAAAAGATCCAGTTTCGTTTTTTTTTATTTGAGATTTCTAACATTTTACCAAGTCACTGAAAAATTATCAATCCTACTTGATGTTATAGGCTACACTGGCCACACAAGTACTTCGTCCAACTTTCGTTCTTATATCAAGTTCGCAGTTTGGTTGAAGTGAAAGCCACCTCACAAGCCTGAATTTAAAAAGATGTCTTTCAATGTTTTTTAACAAACATTTGATCGTACCTCAACGGGAAACCACACAGACACTTTTCAGTCTCTCTTGACTTTGAAGGAAGAGATTCGTGCCCGGGATCCTCAGTTTCGTGTCATATATGACATCACTAAATCCCACAGATATACTTTGCTTTATTTCTTTTTCTTTGGCACAGTCTTGCACAAAGATCTTTATGATTTTCCAAAAATCTAGTTCGTGGTACTTATGGTGTTTTTCAGATTCACAGTTTCGCTTCTCGATGCTATGGTGGTCTTTTATTTCAAAAGGCAAAAGATGCTCAGTTTATTTAATTGGAATATGAAGCATTAGGGTAAAATATGAAGAGGCGGAGGAATGGATAAGATTTCAAACCACAAGGCGCGTGAATTTGAAATGGTTCCTATCATCACGCCGCCTGACACCTTTTTTGGAGTAACAGTTGTCACATCGCGCTTTTTCAGGCGTCTTTTCAGAGAAAATCACGCAATCATCATCAAAGATCTTTCTCTCTCCTGGTAAATCGTATAAAAGGCTTTCCCAAATCCCTTATTTCTCTTTACCACTCTCAATACTCTCAAGAAACCTAAAGGCGATTTCTCTTACGGTTCATCTTCTTCTTCACACACCTGCAACAATGGCCGATTCATCATCTATTCAAGACCACACTGCTCAGTCCTCTTTCCTCACCATCAAGCCCAACCAGAACTTGATCCTCGACTTGGCTCCGTTCAAATATGACGCGTTCATGCTTCCCATTGTCGAGTGCTTGAAGTACTCACCTTTGGTTACTGCCTTAACCAAGGTTGAATGTGTTCCAATGTCACTATTGTCAAGGGCTTTTCATCTACTAAGTATGTCAAGGAGGAGGAAAATATCATCTTTGAAGTTCTTGATAAGAAACACTCAGTCTCAAAGTCTAGGTTTTGCTCTCTTCTAGGGCTAACCTATGTCGATTCAATGGTGAATCCGGAGTATATTTCTACTGCCCAGATTTTCGACGTGTTCTACCAAATGGGGTATACTGATCTTCTCACCACAATCACCAAGTTCAAGAAGTCATGTCTTCCACCCCAATGGAATGGTTTATTTACTCTTCTCTTCAAGGCTTTCTCTGAGAGAGTAACTGGATCCGACTGTGCTAGCAAATCATTCATGACAATCCTCTATGGCCTCTACCATGGGATTAACCTTGATTATGGGTCCGTTCTTTGGGCTCAATTGGTGCAGAGTATGAATTCTTCGTCTCGACACAGCGAGATCTCTTTCGCACGTTTGTGGATGATTGTTGTGCAGCGGGCAATTGAAAAGTTCAATATTCCGATGATGGCAGACTCATTAATGTCGTCGATTTCCACCTTCCACACTACGAAGATTATTATCACTGATAATTCAAAGTTTGTGGGGTCTATTCCGGAGACTATGTACAGATGTGTTTATGGGGCTAGCAAAATTTTCACTGAGTACAAGAAGAAACTTTTTTCGGGTCCTAGGGAGCTTACTTCTGAGATGCAATGCTCCTTAGATGAAGCTGATAAACCCAAAAAGGGAGGCAAGAAGGGAGATAAGAAGAAAGGGGTTCAAAAAGGTCAATCTTCTCCAGCTCCAACCCCTAAGAAGCAAAAGACTCAAGGTGCGGCTCCTTCGGCTCCAAAGAGGCGAAAGCTCAGAAAGATGATACTGAAGTCCAGCTCACCTTCAAAAAGCGATATTGAGTACGTTCCTTCTGATCCAGCTAAAGTAGATTCAAGCGAAAGCGAAAGTTCTCAATCTGCGGGTTCGCTTCGTGGTGATTCGCCTCCACCTTCCCCACATCAAGAGATACCTTTAAACGATTCTGCTCCAACTCCACCTCTTTTTCCTACTCACACTACTATTCCTATTACCATCGCTCCTTTCCCACCACCAATTTCATCTCAACCTACACCAATTTCATCTCAACCTACACAAATCTCATCTCAACCACCATCTGTTATTTCTACAACAACCATCTCTACTACCCAGCCCCCACCCATTTACACTGAAACCACTACAACAACCACCACAGGCGAACCTCTCGTCAATGTAAACGCATCTGATGCAGGGGCAATGACTTCAGGTTTTGTCACTACCTCAATCCCACCTTTCGTTTCGGTCAACGTATCTGATACGGGGGCTCAAACTTCAGGTTTCTCCACTCATGTTTCACCTCCCATTTCCCCTCTTAACCGTAATGACCCATACATGGTCTTTTGTGATGACGAAGATGAAGATCTTGGGGGTTTTACTTACAGCCCCTTCCAAATCCGGACTGAGAGTGAAGGCGAGGTGCAAGTCACGAAAGGGAAACTCCAGTCCCTCCATGAAAAGATCGACCAACTGATTCTCTCTAACAAAGCTTCCTCTACTGATGCATACGCCAAAGCAGCTTTTGAGTCTCTCTTTGAGCGAATCATGAAGCAACACTCTGCTACTGTTGAAACATCGAATAAAGTTGTCGCCGATTCTGCTGAGGTTTGCAAGTCCACGACCGAAAAAGTCGATAAACTAATTGAAGAAACTAACTCTTTCATGGAGAACTTCCAACCACTTTCAATTCCAACACCACATCAGCAAACGAAGCATTGAAGAGTCTGGGCTCTCTCTTCAAGACTGAGAAGGCGCAACTCCAAGAGATTCGTACTGGTCTTAAAACTGACCATGAATCATTTCAAGCCACTATCTCATCTCAGATTTCTCAGCTTAAATACGAACTGGTAAAGGAGAGTATCCTGAAGGACTCTCTCGCTCTCAAGTCAAAAGAAGCCAAGGTGTTAAGTACCAAACTTGAAGCTTCGGAGAAGCAGGTCCATGATCTGTTATTTGAGAGGGCAGTCATGTGCAGCTATATAACTGATGTTACTGGCATGCTCTCGGATATCATTGAGACTAGGGACTCCATCATCACCATCACCATGCGAAAGTATCTGGCAGAAAAGTTTAGGCCAGTCTTCGCCATGCTTCACCACCTTGAAGGTGTTTCTAATCAATCCTTTAATCCGAAACAAGGGGGAGAAAGTGTGGCTGGTGGATTAAAAAAAGAAGGACCTACAGCTCATGTCAAGCCTATTGTCAAGAACGAACCCAAAGGCGAGGAAAAGCTGTTCTGTGACGACCAAATTATTGATAATGAAGATGAAGAGGAGCCTACTGAAGAAAAAGTGAAAAGACGAAAAGTTCGTGAAGCTGAACTGGATGAGCACCAATGAATCATCCGTGAAGCTGAAGAAAAAGAAAGGGCTGAGAAAGAAGCACAAGCTAATCTTCAGAGCAAAAAGCTCTTGTTCCCCAATTGGTCCCTAAATCGAATCCAGCGCGATGTTGTTGATCTTCCAAGCCAGTATTGGTTAGAAGCAGTAGTTTCGTTTGATCTTAAGAACACACGAGACTCACAACTGGATCTGCCAATTACTCCAAAAGCATTCAGATTTCATTCTTTTGTTAAAGTGGCCAATGCTCCAATCACAGACAGCGGAGCTGATCATATGTTGTTTTCGTTTTATCTGAAGCATATGAAGCCTCAATACGAAACCTGGTCATTAAGCAAAATGACCGGTGTAAAGGTTACAGGGCCGATAGAGACTGATAGCTTTCCGAATGCAAAGTTTAAAGTGGCAAGAGGTTCAGCCAGCCAATGCTATGAGTTTACTCTCGTAGAGCTTCCATGCCTTAACCCATATGACTGGTTCACTCTTTACAACATTTTGCTGAAGGATAATGAAAAATATGAACCTGTCATGTCTCATCTCAAGCACATGATAAAGTCATATATTCAGGAGATTGGAGAGATGGATGTTGAAGTTGCTGCTGTCCTGTGAAAGAAGCCTTCGACTGTTCTTAAGGAATCTCCTAAGGATTTTGAAAAATTGAAGCCAGGGAAACTTCACAGTGGAGATTGGTTTGTGGTTTATTCTGCTAGGGAACGAACTGGAGCAGACTATCGCAAAGGATGCTTCTGTCTTTCTGATAAGCATCTCTATACCACAAACTTCCTTGAGTACATTCTGGACCAGGTGAGCAAGTTCAAAGACAACAAGAAAGATGACATCAAGTGCTTCTCAGATATGGTTCTATGGTACATTGAAGTGCGCCAAGCAATTTATGTTATGATTCTGAAGGTGTATGATGTGCAGAAGCGAATCCAAGGCTGAAAGGTTCGGGCCTCAATTGACGCAAAGGGGGAGATTGTTGGGTATAATAGATTGCGTCATTGGGCTTATTTATTTAGTATTCGGTATTGGGCCTGTCCAAGTTGTATCATTTTTTAGAGTTTAAGTATTAATAATGCATGCATGCACCGTAGATCATTAACGTTTTTATAGAGATATTCTTGTAAACCCTAGCACGCCTCTGCAGTAGCAATTCTTCATAGAGTTCTTCTGAGGCATGACTTTTAATTATTCAACACATTGATTGATTCATTATGTGTTCTAACTTTACTTCATGTTCATATCATACTTGTTCAGAATCTATTCGATCTATAATGATTTTAGCCTTATCACTATTGTATGAGCGTGTAGACTTGCAGGCTAGTACTGATTAGTTAGTGATAGGATGACATGTTTAGGTTATGCTTGATTTCGGCTACTCAATGCTCGAATGCTACTTGCTTTTTGCTTTTTAGGAGTTCTCACTAACTTCAGCTAACTAGTAAGCGAATATGCTAAATTACATATTACGATGACTAAATAATTTAAGAATGTTAGGTTTTAACTCTGTTGCGCAGCTCTTGTTTGATTCCAACCATTGTAGTGTGAGACCTTTCATTCGAAGAATTATCTGGTGTTAGTGATATTTAATTTTATTCGTGAGCTAGTTAGAGGGTGCTAGTAGGAGTTCCTTCTGCAGCTAATGGCGGAGAGTGGCGGGATAATTGCCCTAGGAAAACCTAGGAAGAGATTTAGTGCTGGGAGCCTTGTCTTGTTGAGGATTGAGTGTATGGATAAGGAGTGACTTGGAGGATTCAAAGCAATCCTTGAGGAAAGTACAGATAGATGTGGAAGGTAGTATGGGCCCGTACTACTGGAAGCAGAGGATTCGTACTCGAGTCAAGGAAAGTTGGGATGATATCGGGAAGCTTGTAGGGTATGAGACTCCTCGATGTATGTATATATATGTGTGTGTGTGTTATGATGGTTTGCATGGTCTATTTTCAGTATGGTGGCCACACGAGGAGGTTCTGGCAGTGGTTCTGGTTTGGGTACTAGAGTCAAACACTTAGATGAGCAGATGTGGGAGTTCATTTCGCCTAAGATTACCCTCAGAATACTCGAGCAGGCTCCTGTGATCTTTGGTACGATCAAGGAGGGTATCATGGAGGTGTTGGAGGAGAGCTTGGGCTCTTTTCGTTCTGAGATGGTGGCTTTGATTGGGTCACGTTCGTTTACTTTCATGGAGTTCCGGGCATGCGAGGCTCCGGAGTACTTAGGGGAGAAGGACCCGATCATGAGTAGGCGATGTTAGACGATGTCGTCAATGTCTTCCGCACCAGCAGTTCTCCTGAGGGGGCAAAGATCAGACTTGCTTCCTACCTTATGAAGGATAGAGCTCGAGATTAGTGGGAGGAGGTTGGGCACTCTGCGGGTGATGCGGCAGTTGATTTGATGACATGGGATGATTTTGTGACTAGATTTCGAGCTGAGTTTGCACCAGTGATTGAGGTTCAGCAGTTGGTGAGGGAGTTCCAGTACCTTCGCCAGACTACTGAGACGGTGGGTTGAGATTACCGCGATGTTCTGTGAGAGGGCGTTGTTGGTTCTACTGTATGTGTAATGCGAGGAGATGAAGAAGGTGAGATACCATGAGATGCTGAGGAGTGATATTTGGTAGTCTATGAGCCGCTCCAGTTGCAAGACACTAAAGGATGTGATTGCTAGGGCTAGAGAGAGAGAGAGAGATTGATTTGGAGATGGAGAGGAAGATGAAGTCGGATCAGGCTCAGGGTTCAGGGAGTGTGGACAAGAGCCCCAAGGTATTTGACTCGAGGATGAGGGGTCAGCCGGGTCGAAACCGATGTGGCAAGTGCGGCAAGATGCACGATGGGGCGTGTAGGGTAGGTGATTCTGGTTGCCTCAAGTGATTGTTTACGCTTTGAGGTAGTTGAAGCCTCATGAGGCGAATTATCCGACGCATGATTGAGATCTGGGGGTTGTGGTTTTCGCCCTCAATATTTGGTGACATTACCTCTATGGGTCCTCTATACTATTTAGACTGATCACAAGATCCTGAGGTATTTGATGGATCGGTCGAATATGAACATGAGGCAGCGTTGGTGGTTGGATGTGGTGAAGTATTATGATTGTGAAATCCTTTACCGTACGGGGAAGGCCAATGTGGTCGCTGATCTTCTTAGCTGCAAGGTGGTTGTGGCTCTAATCAGGGATATTTGTTTGAGGATGACCGTGATTACTCCACTTTTGGAGCAGATTCGAGAGGCTCAGGTTGAGGCTATGAAGGAAGAGCACCGGAAGAGTAAGCGCATAGTGGTTCAGGTGGCTTCCTTTGATTATGATAGTTGAGGGTTATTGACTCTTCATAGGAGAGTGTGGGTTTCATATTGGGGTGGTGCATGTCAGGTTCTAATGGAGGAGGTGCACAAATCGAGATTCTCCATTCATCACGGGGCGACGAAGATGTATAGGGACCTTCGTCCTGATTATTGGTGGCCCTGTATGAAGCAGGATGTAGCTTGGTATGTGGAGAGGTGCTTGACTTGTAGGAAAGTCAAGGTGGAGCATCAGCGGCCTCACAGAAAGATGCAGCTGTTAGACATCCCTGTTTGGAAATTGGAGGAGATTGCCATGGATTTCATTACGAAGTTGTCTAGGACTACGCGTGGAGTGGACTCGATTTAGGTCATCGTAGATCGATTAATCACGAGCGCACATTTTATTCCGATTCAGGAGAGTATCTCTACGGAGAAGTTGGCCAAGATTTACATCAGGGAGGTTGTGGCACAACATGGGGTGCTGGTTTCTATGGTTTTAGACAGGGACATCGGGTTTACTTATAGATTTTGGAAGAGGTTCCATGACGAGTTGGGTACTCGTCTGCATTTCAGCACAACTTTCCACCCGTAAACTGATGGATAGAGCGAGTGGATCATCCAGACCTTGGAGGATATGCTTCGGGCGTGTGTATTGGATTTCGGTGGAAGTTAGGATACGTATATTCCGGTAGCGGAATATTCTTATAACAACAGTTATCACACCAGCATTGATTGACCTCCTTTTGAGATGCTCTATGGGAGGAAATGCAGGACCCTGATATGTTGGGGTGAGGTTGTTCAGTGAGTCATGGGGAGTATCGAAGTGGTACTCAAGACTACCTAGTTGATTCAACAAGTTCGGAGTAAACTCCAGACAGCTCAGAGTCGGCAGAATAGTTATGCCGACAAGCGCCGGTCGGATTTAGAGTTTTAGGTTGGGGATATGGTTCTCCTAAAGGTGTCACCTTGGAAAGGTGTCATTCGATTCAGGAAGAGGGGCAAGTTGGGCCCCAGGTACATCGGCGCTTTCAGGGTTTTGGCTCGTGTGGGTCGGGTTGCTTATCGCTTGGATCTTCCTGAGGAGCTCAGTCAGGTCCATAGCACGTTCCACGTCTCTCAGGTGCGAATATGTTTTGTGGATGATTCTGCGGTGGTTCCATTAGAGGATATTCAGGTGGATGATCGCCTGAATTATATAGAGAGATCGGTGGCGATTCTTGACCGGAAGACGAAAACCTTGAGGAACAAGGTTGTTGAGTTGGTGAAAGTTTAGTGGCAACATCGCAAGGGTTCAGAATAGACGTAAAAGCTGGAGGATGCGATGAGGGAGCACTACCCAGAGTTGTTTGGGGCAGCGGACTTCGATGAAGAATTCTGATTCAAGTGGGGGAGAATTATAACACTCGAGAATTTGGTATGTTTCCCTTTTAGCCCTTAATGCAAAATCCTTATCATTTTGATTTGTAGCTAGTACGCATGGCGTACTCTATGAGTACGCTTAGCGTACTAGCTCTTTTCTGGTTGCGGGATTCACCCACATACGCGGGGCGTATGCGGAGTACGCATGGCGTAAATGGTGCAGGGGAAAACCCTAGTTTTTAGGGTTTTCACCCTATTTAAATAAATTATAACACCTTTTGGACATTTATTGATCAGCCTCCATCACCCTATGCCCTAATATCGAAACCCTATGTGTATTTGGTGAGATTTGAGCTTGAAAGT